TCTTCCAGTTCTTAAAAATGAAGTGGTGCATCCTCTCCTTAAGAAATTGTTGCTGGATCCAATGACACTGGAAAACCTTTTGTCCTATTTCAAACCTTCTCTTTCCTCCAAGCTGATCAGGATACAGCTTCAAAGGACCTTGCACAAGGTAAATTATTTGGATTTCTTTCAGTTGGGTTTTATATAAGATATAGTATGGCATTGATCATAGCTGTTGATCTTCGAGGGGACTAGGATGGGTATGGTGCATTGATCTAAGCTTTCAAAAGCCTTCAGTGCCATCAACCATGATAGCCTTGGAGGGTTTAGGAGTAGGGGAGAATGGTGGTGTGGTAATTCTCCTCCTTCCTGCAGTGCAAATAGAGGTAGTGGGAGGTAGCAAGGATGACCCCATTCTTTATTCGGCATGAACCTTCTATGCTTTCAGCTGAATGGCTGGAACAGGCCATTTGTGCATGAAGATAGGCAGACTGATTCTGTCATCTGAGAATAAGAATGTTGCAAGGATGAACCTATGAGATGTTGGAGGCTGAGCCCAAGAATTTATCTGCAGTTAGAAGTAGAGGCAAGCTTATTGCCAGTCTCTTTTTTCCCCCTCTTATTCTTGAGGGACAAGCTCTGCTTTCCTTGTACTGATTTGTTCCTGGAGTGTTTTATTAACTTAACATAGATCAATAGTAAATATCACATGGCTTATATACTTTCCTTCACTACTTCAAAAGAGCTTACCAAGGCTCAAAATGTGAGCAAAGAATAAATAGCAGCTAATGTGGATTTGATTTTGTTAAATGTGATTTATTAGAAAATTGAATCTGGCCCTTTTTAGGATCACTGTGTATTATATTTCACACATTTCATTACCTCTACCAAATGCAAAATTTCCTGGCACAGCATTTTACATTTTTGTTGTTTTAATCTGAAACTTGGATTACAACCAGCCTTGTCTATGCTGGCAGGAGGCTTCAGATGAATACTTGACAGAAGAAAATGAAGAGAGATGGCGTAATGTGATGCTTGTTACTGAAATGATGGTTGGTTTAATGAATTCTTCTAGGTTGCCTAGGGGGCTCCAAAGAAACAGATCGATATTAAGGATTTATGCATCTAATTTGAAGAAATGAGGTCTGATCCATTTCCCAACTTCTGTTTTTATGTTCTTCTTCATCTGAGGCTCTGCTTTTGATTTTGTGAATACAGCAGGGTCCATACAGAATGTTTAGGTTCTTTTTGAAATCTTTTCTTCTCTCTTCATATTCACAAATGCTGTAACTGCCTAAGATTTTATTACATTGTGATGGATTGACAGTACAGTGAATTTTTATTCATGTTGGTAACCTCAGGATGGAAAACCAGAGAAATCAAGTGAGTTTATCTATATGAAGAAAAGAAGATTAGGGAAAACAACCAAAAGAAGGTGCACAGAATATAGAAATTATAAAATAAGAGTTCTGTGACTTTTCTCTTTACTAGCCATGAATGTAAAACAACAACAAAAAAAAACCCCAGCCAGCCACCCATCCTGACAAGAAAAAATTATGACTGGCTGTGAATTGGAAAGCAGGTGAAGAGATGAGTATTTTCATCTGGAAGAGAGTTAGAAAGTACTAAGCTTTAATGAATGAAAAGAATTTGCACAGAAAAATGTGTCTGAGTGCTAAAGATTCAAGGGAGCAGACCCTTCCACATGTACATCAGTCTGTTGTTTTGAATGAGGGACTTGACAAAGCAGCAGGGAGACACAAGACTTATTGAAATGAGAAGAAGTCAAGTCAGCACCTCTGTCTTTATGCTTATAACTCAAACATAGCTGGCTTTTATTTCCTTCTTTTAGAAAGATTATTTCTGAACAAACAGTTGGATTCAAATTGGCTTTCCCAACAAGCAATAGAATCCAGTGAAATTTTCAATTCTGACAGGCTTTCATTATCCTGTTATCATACCTACAACAGCAAAGTAGCATTCCTAGAATCCTTGCAGCCTCTGACCTGGCCTACTTCAAGGAGTTATCAGCACATGACTTGCTGAACAAGCGTGAGACCCCAGCAATTGTAGGTTCAGGATTCCAAAGAGCATGCTAAGTTGACTCACACAAACAGCACCAGCAAGCAGTAACACACACACAGCCCTCTTATTTTCTTTCTGTCTGCAAATTCCGGGCAGGTCTGTCTACCATCAAACATTGTAGATCACCTTCCCCTGATCTACAATTTGTATTTACATATGGAAACATTTCTCATTTTCTTTTTCCTTCAAATTTTTGCCACTAAATATTAAGAAGGGTATGCCTCTCTTCCTTCTACTTCTTTAAAATTTGGAAATTATTCTTTTTAAACACTCTTTAGTTATAAGATCTCAATTGTATATTAATTCCCATGTAACACATTAGTCCAGTAGAGACTATTATTTTTAAGTAATCTCATCTGGGCATTAACTGATCCTACAAAGGCTGAGAACTGTTTCTAACTTAAAGGAAACTGTTCAAATAATCTCTTAGATTAAAGAATAGCTGTAAACATAAACAATACAAGCCCCCTGCACCATTTAGCTAGTTATTAAATATGTACTTGTATGGATTTTGCTCTAAATCATGGAACACTTAAATTTAGTTCTCATATTCCTTGTATTTCACATTCATGCTTCATGGCTAACTGTTCAATTACAAAGACATGAATTGCTCAGGCACCCAAAAACACATAAAAGGCCAACTGTGAAGTGCTGATGGCTATAGCATTAATAACACCTACATAACTTGTATCTGTTTCCTTGCTTTGCTTCCCAACTCAGTCTTGGATTTTATTATCCATATTTTAATTAACAAAGCTTTCCTTGTAATTTTATGGGCATAATTAAGCCTTTTGTATTGCAATCATTTTGGAAACAAAATGATGAAGTGTTTAAGATCCTTGTTCCAAAGAGACACATTAGATAAAAATGATCATTTTTTTAAATTACCAAGGTTCTGATGGACAGGTTAGGGTTGCAAGTGCACTTTTTGATTCTTTTTGGGAGACAAAGGAGGGTTCTGTTATATATCTAGATTCTAGACCATATTGCCCAATCTTGAGGTTGTGTCACAACCGTGCTGAAGCAGTTAGCTCTTATTACATAATGAGCTCTCAAACAAGCAGGTAAATTATGATTTATCAAACTAACTAGCCCCAAATTGGAGAAACCATATGATATAGGATTTTTTTTTTATTTCTCAATTTTGCAATACTGTGATGCAAAGCAGGATCCCAACAATGCAAATTTCTCTAACTATGTCTCAGGGAACACTCTGAATGTTGCCTCCAAGGGCATTTACATTCATTCTAGTTGAAGGGACACGTAAATCCAGAAATCCATGCTTGAGATCTTTGTTCTTTTTCTCTTAAATAAATGAAAAATACGGAGACAACATGTTAACACACTTGTCTTTCCATAAAAACATTTCTGACGATTCACCACAAAAAAAACTTCATGAACCTAGTTAAACAAGAGTAATAATAGTCAGTGCCTGTGTAAATTATTTCAGAACAAAGTAATTTATAAAACATAATAAAACAGAACCAATATTCCCACAAACACTTGCTTGGAATTAATAAAGGGGTCTAGGACAACTCACTCTGGCCAATTCACCACGAGACAACTTGCCACAGGACAAGGGTTACACTAATATTGAAGAAATGGTAGAATAGAATAATTAAAGACAGGATGCAGAAAGAAGGAAAAAATGACATGTGAATGACAAAAATTACTTTTTAAAAATATTATTTTAAATAAATTGAATTGTTGAATTGTCCCGCAGGGAATCATCTATGGTGAGTTGGCCGTGGTGAGTTTTTTCCCATCCTGTCTATAAAGTGCCAGACAGAAGATGCTGGAGAAACGCCAATTTTGGACTAGGAAAGTTGGTAAGTTACATCCACATCCAAGCTTTCCTAAGTTCCTCAAAATTTCAGCAGAACTTGAAAATTGACAAAGAGGATAAAAAAGGCATCTCTGAAATTGAAGCCAAGACAGTCCATCCAAAAATATGATAATCACATCCTAAAACATGCCAATATATACGAACATCATGTATTCTGAGACTGTTTTCTCACCAGTGGCTTTTAATATGTTCATGGCATTACCTAGCCATCACTGAAGTGATACGAAGCCCTAGGTCTGTAGAATAAATTGTAATAATCTCAAAATAAAAAAAAGCAATAATCACATCATCATAAGACAAATCCTCTGTTTTTGTATTTGCATGCTTTGTGACATTTTGACACATATAGTCACTTAAACCCCTTTGCCTCCCCTACAAATGTCTATGAGTAAAATTTGTTATTTTATCTTTCTTTTAGCCCAATGATATTTGGATGGCTCTAGAACAGTGTTTCTCAACCTTGACAATTTTAAGGCATGTGGACTTCAACTCCCAGAATTCCACAGCCAGCATGAGTTGAAGTCCACATGCCTTAAAATTGTCAAGGTTGAGAAACACTGCTCTAGAAGATATTATTCATCAGTAATGGGAAAAAAATTAGGCTTCCAACACCTTTTTCTAGATTTACAGGCAACTAATTTAACAATCAATGGTGGCAACCTTACATACATTTCTGATTCACTTGCGTGTAAAAGCAGAAATATTTACATGTGTCTTCATGAAAACAGTTCTACTAAAGGATATTTTTAATAGGTTCCTAAATAGTATTAAGTTAATGCCTCTCTGCTGAAATTAAAAGGACAGTTTTTAATTTCCTATGCTGGACCTCAGCATTGTATAATTTCTGAAATCTTTTTAACAAGGTCAAGAAAAAGAAATCAAATAACAGATTTCATTTTAAATAGGTATGGTTGGTTATGTATCACGATTTCTTTCATCTTTTCCAATGTTAGCTAAACTATTGAATATCCCCCAAAGTACTCTTATCAGAGGTATCTACCAAGAGACATTGATTAAAGATAGCTCGTGTGGTAGAATAATATCCCATGCTATTTTCTTTTAACTTTTGGAAAGAATTAAAGTATCCTACCTTGCCAACGTACTGATAATCAGAGCCTGTGTATTCCTCTAGAAGGAAGAACTGATTCCACATCCAACTTCTTTTGGAACGACTAAGTTCCTTTCTGCTGTTTCTAGATAAATCCAAAACCTTTAGGTTTTCTGGAAAACCAGTAGCTTTTTGGGATAACGGTGTAGAATAACTTTGGTGAAGAGGACCAAACCAGAAGAGGAGCCAGAAGCAATGATAAGTTCTCATGATGGCAGTACAATATGATGCTGAAGTGATGATTTCCCCCCCAACCTCAGATGCAAGCTAGTTGTCTGTGCGGAGGCCAATCACATTCCTTCTTTATTCCTTAATGTTTTTTTTTTCTTTAAATCTCGGAGGAACTCTGAAAGAAAAAGAAATGACAATTTATCAAGCATTTAGAGAAGGCTATTTAGCACTCAGTGCAATAGCAGATATGACAAAAAGGCAGATGCAATTGCTACAAAAAGAATACTATATGGCTCTTAGTTGCAGATTGCTATTTACATAAAAGTGAATGCAACCTCTCCATTGAGTAGGAGGAATAATAAAGTAATTTATTTTGCTTGCTGTTCTACTTACTTGAAATATATTATTTCTGGCAATTTGATTATGTCTTTTACATGGTTCATGATAATCCTATTTATTTTCACAAAGAGAAAAGTTGGTTTTCAGTTGGTGCATTTTAAACGGTGCTAATTGAGGACCATATGACATAAGTGAAGACTTCCTCCAGATGTGTAAAACATGCACTGTATCATTTGTACATTTCTTGATTAGCCATAGATAATGAGGTGGAGCATGGCCTAATCAGTTACCCTAGGGAGCTGTGTGCCTGTTTGTATTAATGAATAGTACTGAAAAAATAATTTAGAATCCTGGGTATTTTGGTGGTTTATTTTTAATTCCAGTATTTGTCCTGAAGGGTTTAAAAAAATTGGTTCATTTCCCCCATCCTTTTAATGACTGTTCCATTTCTAAGAAAGGAACTCCATTTTTGGTGTTATATATTTGAAGAATTTCATTTTTCTCATGTCTTGATAAATCATGTTTTGTTTTCTCTGTCACATTCAATTCATACCATCAGAAACTAATAATAGGACACAGAAGGTGAGAATCAAACTGTCTTTTATCTTGAAGAATAAATGTGCTGTAAAATAAGAGTGTAATAATACTACTTTCATTTAGAAAAGCTGTACATATGCAATATTGCTATGTTTGAGGAGGAAATGGCACGGAGCAGTCCCAGAATAAATGAATCCAACCCTTTATATAATTTGTTGGAAGAAGTGAAACTGGTAAACACAAGGACTTGAAGATGGAACAGATTAGTAAATTGTACTAGACAGAAGAAGACCGGAATAACAGCACTCTTTAACAATCTCCCTCAGACAATTTCACAATTTCAGGATACTATAGTAAACTTTAGTGTTCCAGACACTTAAAACTTTATTCAGCAATCACTCTCAACATTATTCAACCAAATTAAAATTGTTATGGGCTGAATACAAAAACAAAGCGAGAGAAAGAACAGTGTATAAAATTATATAAAAGAAAGAAAATTGAAAAAGAATAAAAACACCTAGGTCACATATTCATGGATATATCTACTGTACATATATATAAAATTCTACATAAGCATTTCAATGAATGGAAGCCATATTTCATTGTCACAGACAAGAAGGAAGCCTAGACAGAACAAATGGTTTGCCATTGGCAGAGCAAACAAGGCAAGCCTTTAGACAGTATAAGGTCTGAGCTTCAGAATTTTAGACTAAGACTTTTCCTTCTGCCTTTCTAAGTTAACAGATGCTTGGCCCTTTTCTTTATGATTGTGGGAAGTAGATCAACTATGTTGACATAATGCCTTTCCATTGCTGCCTTGCCAGATTCAGTTCTAGCACACCTCCTTTTCTATTTTCTCCTTCTCCTCTCTGAATTTGCTGTTATTGTTTCTCTCTTTGCCAGCTTCACAAGGGGCTGGAAAATACTGTGCCTCCCCTTCCATTTTCACTTCTTCTCTGAGTGAAATGGGTAATGCCTTCCTCCTTTTTTTATGTCTGTCCACCTGACCAAAGATAGCATTTCTTCTTTGGTTCAAACTGGTAAGAATCTCCCACAATGTCACCTCTCCTCTTTCAAGACAACAGATAGCAGGAAGGGAACTATTTTCAATCCTTCTGCTTTATCAGGAACATCCCCAATTTATAACTCTTCCTTTCATAATCTTTAGGTGGGCCAATATCTGCCTCTCATTAATCATACAATATCTTCCCCCTCAAACAACGTCTACTGGCCCTCGGTATTAGAACTGGTAGTAGCTTGGTCTTGTGCAGGGATTGTAAATTGAACTGCCAAAGAGACAGGGTGTGTAAATGTGATCTTTCACCTCTGAAAAAATCTTCAGTAACAAAAAGTCTATAGGAGATGACCAGGCTGAGCCTGAGGGGGGAGGGTCAAATGTGCCATAAGTCAGAAGTCCCTACGTGCTACAAGAGATCTAAGTCCAGCCCATTTGAATACCTTTTTATTCCTGCTCATTTCTCTGGATTATTAATAGGTCAGATTTTTGTAGAAAGCTTAAGCTTGCAATAAATCTTTATACTCATTTGAGCTACCTGAATCTCCTGATTTCCCTGGTGCTTGACAATGCCCTTTTAATGAATTGTACATTTTAGCCTGGCCCTTCCGTGTCAAGATCCAAAACCATGTCCTACTTCAGTTTCTTTCTCTTTTCTTCACCAATGGTAATGCCGATCTGAAAAAAAGTACTTTATAATGCTATACTAATGACAAATAGAAAAAAGTAAAAAAAAAATATTTAAAAGTGCTATTGTATTGTTGCACAATATCATGAAAAATTATCTCAAAGAAAAACATGCTGGTTCATTTTCTCATCAGTTGTAACACTACCTTTTCCAAAAAGGATAACTTACATATTTCCCCAAATCAATCCTTAATGTCTGAAATAATATCATTTTTTCATTTCTCAGAAAATTTCTTCTGACAACAACCCATGCCTAATACAATAATCATTCCCTCAAAGACAGAGTAAGAAAGTTTTGAGGAATAAGTCAGCATCACATAAACAATTTTTTTAACATTTAGGAATTTCACCATGAATCCACTTAAAAATACTGAAATGCTATTCCCAAAAGATATTAATGGCTCAATAAACTCAATAAATTCACATTTTTTTCTTGTCCAACGAAGAAAACCTGATGGCTATCCTTTCGAATACATTATTTGGATAAAAGAATTCTATTTTCTTGCAGCAATAAAGTCAGATAGCAACCAGCAAATCTATGAAACTGAGACAAGATAAATGCTACCTATTTCACTTCTGCAGCTCTTGAGGTCCATCAGACAGCGTTACAACTGATGCCTCTGAAGTTTTTATTATCTGAAAATTTAATTTTTTATCAGTACAAAATAAAGGACTGACAATAGTGTTTCTCCCTCCCCCACATACTTTTAAAATGTTTTTGGGCACTGAATCCACTTCAAGTCTCATTTGGGTATCTATGGATAAATGTGTTACAGAATACGGGTTGGAAGCATATTGCTTATAGCTACAGTCCCACAGGAAAAATAATTCATTTTCAAATATAGATAAATGGTTAAGGAAAGCCTGATAGATAAGGAAGATGAAAGCAAATCCCTTACATTTTAGACATCAGGTATGACTGCACATGTATTCTATAGATTTTTTTTTCTTAAAAAAAATACACACGACATAGGTGTATGCATGTGAAATACACACAACAATAAAACAAATCTTTTATAGATGTTATTGTAATGTCCTTAATTGTTGAGAGCCACCCCGAGCAGAGTGGCACACAAGTTTAATAAATTATTATCTCATATTGTTCTGACTTCAGAAGGGAGGATGACCTTGATCCTGTTGGCCTTTCATAAGGCCTTGAGGATCTGGGACCCCAAATATGGGACGTGTTTCCTGGCTGCACTGACATCTATCTTGTTGGCATTTTTTTCCTCAGCTGCCATAGATAATTTTGTACTATGTTGCAACTGTTTTTAATTGTTTCACGATTGTTCACTGCCCAGAATCACTTGTATGAGATGGCAGCTATAGAAATTGAATATTTATTTATTTAACATATGGCAAATAGCAATTGAATACAGGTAGTCCTCCACTTACAACAGTTCATTTACTGACCGTTTAAAGTTACAACAGCATTGAAAAAAGTGACCATTTTTCAGAGTTACGACCGTTGAGGCATCCCCATGGTCATGTGATCAAAATTCATATGTTTGGCAACTGACTCATATTTATGACGGTCATGTGATCACCTTCTATGACCTTCTGACAAGCAGAGTCATTGGGGAGACCAAATTTACTTAACAACCGTGTCACTAACTTAACAATGGAAGTGATTCATTTAACAACTGTTGTAAGAAGGGCTGTAAAATGGGGCAAAACTCACTTAACAAATGTCTCACTTAACAACAGAAATGTTGGGCTCAGTTGTGGTTGTAAGTTGAGGATTACCTGTAAATATTAATGGAATAGGAATAATCTAGAGGTAAAACTGAGATTAAAAAACTGCTAATGATCATGTAACTCTGAACCAGTTAGTGGAATAATATTAAAAAGATCTATCTTTCTTTCTTTCTTTCTTTCTTTCTTTCTTTCTTTCTTTCTTTCTTTCTTTCTTTCTTTCTTTCCTTCCTTCCTTCCTTCCTTCCTTCCTTCCTTCCTCAGAATAAATGAACAATTTTTTAAATGAACATATATCTATATATGTGTGGATTATTTTTCCAAATGTCAAACAAATAAGGCCCCAAATTTATCAAATATCCTTTGAACAAGTAACTCACTATATCCCAGGAAAGTGCTATTTATCAATCACCTTGCAGCAGTCAATGTGCATATGTGACTGGGAAAACAAGCAGGCTTCTATTAAATTGGTAGAATTAAATGGCATAAATGCAACAGAGGAAGGCAGCGCCGATGCCCATAATACTATCAACAGCCTTCAGATTTATTCACCTATTCTTAGGTTTGATAGATTCTTTTCACACTTGCATGGTAGAGTGACTAAAAGCCAAACAAGGTAATTTTATAAGATGTAGGGAATCCCTTCTCTTTTTAATTTTGTTTGAAGCCTTGACTTTAGGCTGGATGAACACACTTTCCCGTCTGGGGCTGGGAAAGAGGAATTTCACAGGTGAGTTAATTAGGGAAGCCACAGGGGTTAAAGTCCTGGTGAGCTGCCAGCAAACAGCAGGCTTGTCATCCCAGTTGCTCTGAGTACTGAGAGAAAGTGACTGATGACCAGTTTTGTTTTCACTCCAGGTGCCTGGATTCTTCTTCCTGGGAAGGAAAGTTTCTGTAGGCAT